TTTACACTCACACACAACAGCAGATAAAAAAAATCCCGACATGATTAAATGAAATGATTTAGAATTTCCTGAAAACAGACTGTATCGTTGCATGTTTATGCTGATGACGGGGTTAAAAGACGTCGGAAAAATTGATTATGTCGTGGCCTTGGGATGATAAGCAACACGGAATGCCGTTTGAATACCATTATGGCGGTAGGCAAGCAACGCGGAATCGAATTAGTTTATCGTTAATTCAATGTTGAAAATTCGATGGAAATGAAATTTTATATTAATGAAAACCTTCATTATCCCCCTCTTCATGAAACAATTTTAAAAAAAAATGTATGATATGAAAAAAAAATGTTTTAGAATGAAAACGGGTAACAGAGCGACGAACGGGTTGGAAAAAAAAACCGAAAGAGATGGCGAGGGTTGTAAGAGGCTAAATTTGACGAAGAGGACGTAATTTGCGGGTCATACTCGGGGAATAAAGAGGGCAGCGGGGCCAGGGGCGGAACTACCATACCGCCAGACCCCGCAATGCGGGGGGGGCCCAGGACGCTTAGGGGCCCAGTTCCTACCAAAAAACATTAAATTTTTTTTTTCAAAAATAATGTTTTTCATGCATCTTGAAAGTGGTTTTGTAAAAAAAAAAAAAAAAAACAGGTCTACTATAGCAGAGATTGTTGCGTAGAAAAATATTTTAAAATCTACAAGAGCTATAGTTTGAAAGGTAGGTAAACATTCACACTACTTCCATGACTTACTGCCCTTCTTTAAAATAGAGATGCCCACGAAGCTCATTTAAATAGTTTTGTACTATGTATATTAAAAAGCAATTGATTCTCTGGATTGTTATTTAAATAAGACGTACTATACAATAGTATAGATATAAAAATCAATGTTTTCAAAATTGATATTATAAAAGCCAAAAATGAAAAAAATAAACATAACGCGAGAAACCATTCACGAATCAAGCTAACGTCTTTATATATTTTTGACCAGCATCTTTATGAGCATTACGTGACGTACAATCAGTTTGGACTAAATTTTTCTGGTTTGTTTCTCAGAATGGTTATATATATATATATATATATAATATATATATATATATATATATATATATATATATATATATATATATATATATATTATATATATATATATATAATATATATATATATATATATATATATATATATATATATATATATATATATATATATATATATATATAGGGGGCCCTAATCTTTTCTTTGCGGGGGAGCCTTTTTTTTCTAGTTCCGCCACTGAGCGGGGCCCGGGCTTTCAATGGTGTTCGTCTGGCCCGTGTCAGGGGCAGCACTTATGATTTCCAGCCCCATGACACGGGGAAATTGCGGGCTCCACATTTTGACAGCGTTATAGCAATCGGCAGGAAGTTCAGATGGACCGGGGGTGCGGGGCTACCATGTTATTGATTTTCATGTCACCAACTCACAACGTGGAAAGTAGGAAGAGGAGGGGAGGGGGGGATGTACGTCGGCGAAGTAAGAAAACAACAAACGAGCGAAGAGAGAATTGAAGCAACTTGGACATTAAAGTCATAAAACATGGAAATACATGTGATAAAACATGATAGTTTATGTTACTTAAAAAAGAAGGAAATTCAAGTCGAAAACATGGAAATTCAAGTCACAAAACATGAAAATTCAAGAAAAAATACATGGCATTTCACGTCACAAAACTTGGAATTTCAAGACACGAAACATGGAAATTCAAGTCATAAAACATGGAAGTTTAAGTCACAAAACATGGAAATTCAAGTCACAAAACATGGGAATTCAAGTCACAAAACATGGAAGTTTAAGTCATAAAATATGGAAATTCAAAACATAAAACATGGAAATTCGGGGAATAAAACATATTCAAGTCATAAAAAGATGTAAATTAAATTAATAAATCATGGCTATTTAAGTGATAAAACAATGATATTAAGCCGTGAAACTTATATATTGAATTAACACAAAACTTAATATTCCAGTCACAAAACATAGATATTTCATTTATCAAACATGGATAATTCAGTCACAAAAAATGGACATTCCATTTATCAAACATGGATAATTCAGTAACAAAACATGGATATTCTTTAAGTCGTATGTGGTACCACTGATGCCATTCTACTTCATGTTCTGCACATCAGGCTAACTAGAATACAAATAACTGACTAAGTTTAAAGGTATACTGCCAGTTAGGTGATTTCTTGTAGTCTATTACAGGTCTAGTATATGTTAGTTTTGGATATTTCTAAACACTTTATTTAACCATTCCATGAAGCTGCTACAAATCTTTGGGTGCTAGATTGGAATCCCAAAGGAAAGAGAAAAGTGGGTAGGCCAAAACAAACGGATAATGTCAGCTGCAGGAGAAGCCGACGCAGTCGGAATGTCGTGGACCCAACTTGGAGGAATCGCCAATAACCGAGTACGGTGGAGAGGCGTGGTTGCGTCCCACAATGTGTCCACAGGAATGATGATGTTGTCAACACAATTTGGTCCATGGATGGGAATCACCTCTGTCCGCGTCTGTTTATCTTTACAAGGGAACAGAATACATCTATATTTTACTTTAACTATCTCGTTCATATAAAAATAGTTCCTCCTGGGGCAAATACCCCCCCCCCCTAAGCACCGCCATTGGAAACTTTTTATATTATTTCATACAATGTTTTAGAGTTGTCTGAGTATGGCCACATCTCCAGTAGAATGTAACTTCGTTTTTCGTTTATTACAAAAAAATGTTCGTTCCAATTCTGTAGAAATCAGACAAATCTACACAAAACTACTCTAGTACTTCCATCCACCAACATCTAAAAACGACTTTTTTCTCATTCGCTGCTTCGTGTTCACATGGTAGAAAAACTTGGGCACGAAATTAGATTTGGCCTCCGCGTCTCCCTCTGTCATACAAGATTATTAAATGTAATTCATATGTTTTCAATAGGAGAGCCGTATCGGCATCCGAGGGTTAATGTGTTTGACAACCAAGAGACAAAGCAAGGCCTCGGCCTGTCGGCGGTGCTATGGGTGCCGGCTAATGCGATTAACCCTTTAGAAGCGGGCGTGAAGTAAGAGTAACACGAAGGTAATGCGAGGTCCAGCTCCGAACTTAAGATTCATGAGCAGGGCAACAGCTCCGGGCTAAATCAATTGGCGAGAAATTGAGAATATAAATATTGATATTTTAGCTTTTTTATGGAAATTGAGATTCTGCGTATTTTCAGAATTTAAATAAAACGCAATGATGAAAAGAAAAAAAAAGATTATAAATTGGAAGAGACAGCGGGCGCATAAATATTTATTTTTTAATAAGATTAAGCTAGGCAAAAAAACAATATCATAATGAATATAATTATACATACATACATACATATATATATATATATATATATATATATATATATATATATATATATATATATATATATATATATATATATATATATGTATGTATATATATATATACATATATTCATATATATATACACATACATACATATACATACATACATATATATATATATATATATATATATATATATATATATATATATATATATATATATATATATATATATATATATATATATATATATATAGGATGCTGTGCGAAAAAAGTTACCGGTTAGTAAAACATTGTTAATGTCAAAATTCAGAGACCTCCCGAAAGCTGTGAGGAATGAACGTTGATCATCAGCTTTCTAGAAGCTGTCCTTGCTTACATCTCCCCAGCCATCCCATTAACAATGGCTATTTTTATCTCGCTTTTCATCTCCTATGCCATCGTTATCATCTCCTCTCCGCCCATAAACTGGTTACCCTGAGTTTCCGGGGATTCAACCAAAGACGCTACCCATCCCGGCATAATAATATTACGCCGAGCCAGACCCGGAGTTAAAATATGTGCAAATCCCCCCAAAACCTCCAATTTTCCCCGGAATACCCTCGTCATCACAGACTGCCCATTTGCGCCCAGCTGACCGGCGGGGAAGTATGGTTTATGGTCAATTTTTATGTCGGACATAGAGTCGGGCGTGCTGTCCCTCCCTATCCTGACAGCTTACAGCGTATTTTGCGCGCCATTATGAGTATGAATAATTCAGGTTTTTCCCCGTCCATCGCCGGCCATTTATAGGATCGCTAGTTATGGTCCCTCATCCCGGGCCTCACACCCTCGACACCCGGCTCGCTCGAGCAAGGGACATCACCGTGATCATTTTTATAGCCATAAGAGACCCCTAGGCGTTATTCTTGTCCCTTTAGAGTTAGCACCCTTTGGCCGTACGCTTCCATTACTCATAGCTTTAGCAGAAACCAGGAAGAACGGCCGAACGGCAGACGATATTAATCAAAGTTCACTATGATAATGAAACCTCGCCTCCCTCCTCCCCCTCCCGTATTTTACTCTTTTCTTCCTTTTTTTCCCAACCCATAGCGTCCGTGTTTAAAATTATGATATGATATTGTTGAGGACAATGATTTACACAGTGTTTTGAGAGGCAGATGTCGTTATTTATTCATCAAAATTATAGTTTTTTTATATATACTATCTAGTGAGTTGGGTGGGGGTTTAGGGGCTTGCAGCTATCTTTTCATCTACATATGTAGTTTCAGTGAGAGTATAGTCTTTTTTCAGGCATCAAGAGGCTGTTCTATAGTAGTCTGCTACATAATACTGCTCTATAAAAGACTGCTCTATAAAAAAAAAAACTATTCTACAAAAAACAACTTAATAATAGACTGTTCTGTAAACGGGTGCTCTATAAAAGACTGTTCCACAACGTCCGTGTCAATAGAACAATGGAATAGTACACGGCATGGCAGACACCCGATGTTGGACGTTTACTGGTGTGTAGCTGGACGTATGACTGACTCGTGTCCGGCACTCACACTTAGTTTTCCCCAATCAGAGCCAGGTATTTATTAAAGCTGAGTGGACTCGTGAACGTCATTCACAACCAAGAACGTGATCCGAACTTGAGCCATTGGAGCTTGCCATTATGTGCTCTACCACTGGACATCTTGTCAGACTTAGCACTGGGCGTCTTGTCACACTTAGCACTGGGCGTCTTGTCACACTTAGCACTGGGCATCTTGTCATACTTAGCACTGGGCATCTTGTCATACTTAGCACTGGGCATCTTGTCATACTTAGCACTGGGCATCTTGTCACACTTAGCACTGGGCATCTAGTCACACTTAGCACTGGGCATCTTGTCATACTTAGCACTGGGCATCTTGTCACACTTAGCACTGGGCATCTTGTCATACTTAGCACTGGGCATCTTGTCATACTTAGCACTGGGCATCTTGTCATACTTAGCACTGGGCATCTTGTCATACTTAGCACTGGGCATCTTGTCATACTTAGCACTGGGCATCTTGTCACACTTAGCACTGGGCATCTTGTCATACTTAGCACTGGGCATCTTGTCATACTTAGCACTGGGCATCTTGTCATACTTAGCACTGGGCATCTTGTCACACTTAGCACTGGGCATCTTGTCACACTTAGCACTGGGCATCTTGTCACACTTCACAATTTTTTGAACCCAACCTGCTTTTAAAAGCCGCTTATTCTAAAGTCAATCAACTTCAGAAACTGCCAGTTCTTATGTCCTTGTATCAAAATTCATAATCTATATTTCCAATCCACAATGTACAAACCAACAGCAGAATATGTTTATCCTTTGTGTAACAGATCCATAAACTGCCTTTTAAATAAAGTCCTAAAGCTGACATAGCGAGTACTATAACATCTCAAATTCCTCTCCAACTATACTTAGCAAAGCTAACACGATGCTATCAATGTTCGTGTATACACAAAAACATATCAATAACAGACAACAGAATAAAGAAAAATTGTTGTCATGGTGATTATGATGAAAGGATAAAAACATCCCAAAACTCTCAACACTCAAATTTCCTTATCCGCTTCACTTCGCCCCCTCCCCATTCTTGCCCCCCCGGGGGGCGGCTGATTTGTGTATCAGTTCATAACTCATAACCCCCGACGTCATTCTCCCCGCGTTCCGCCGATCAAAGCCGTTAATGCCGCCATAAAAAAGACGGAATATGCTCACCACGGCGCGAAACAATGTCACTTCCGCTATTACAATCATGGAGCGACCAATTTTCCAGCAGAGTTCTCTATCCCCACCCCACAGACCTTTGCTCCATGTATCAGATTTTTGATTTAACCAGGAGAAAGAGAAGGGGAGGAGGGAGAAAAAAAAACATAAAAGAAAGAGAGATTATCATTATTTTGGATTTCTCCGCGACAATGGCATATGGAAAAGACAGAATGGATCGTATGACGTTATGGCCATGATCGGGAATCCCCCGAGAGCTGCTCATCAAGTTATAACGTTAGTTATGGTATTGTCTCGCCTTCAAGCTCCCGCCGCGCGCGCTCATACTCGTATAAACTAAGATATTATTACGCCGTTTCTGGCCGGGTACTCCCCTGTGGCCGTCCATTATTATAGTTCCAGATTTATGATGGCCAAGAAGGCGCGGATTTTATGGCCGACGGTGGACTTCAAACTGTAATAAACACAGCGGGCCACCCTTGGCGAGGTCTGCTCACGGTCTCTCGTCATCTCTCGTCAGTTCTCGTTATTTCTCGTTCACAATGTTATGATGCGGGTTTTTCTCTCTCCAGCATGGGGGTTGTCAGTTATGACTTAATGATGTCATACGTTGTCATCAGTCGCGTGCGTAACGATGTTTTGTTTTTTCAGCCAAGTTATAGAATATTGGTGGATCTTTTTTTAAGGGTGGGGGGGGGGGGGAGAAAGGGTGGGGGGAGGGTGCAGGATAGTGGTCGAGATTTAGAGAGTCCGAGAACTAGTGTAAGTCCCGAGTTCAAATCTAGAGTGTATAGTACGTTTCCAGGTCCCATCTAAGTCTGGTAAGTCAAGCATTTGGTAGTGCATTTAGCCACACAATCTTGTTGTCTGAGGATCACTATCCTGCATTTGGTGGTGCATTTGGCCACACAATCTTGTATAACCTGGGTTACTATCCTGTATTTGGTGGTGCATTTAGCCACACAATCTTGAATAACCTGGGTCACTATCCTTCTTTACAGTGATGGGGGTAGATGGAAACATGGAAGTGTTCGATTAAAAAGTCCAAAGAAAGATGAACCTAAACTGTAGATGAAGTAGAGCTCATCTACTTCTTCATAGAAATATTACATTTTGAAATTTCCTTTATCTCTGAGTCTTACGTATTAAACAACATCATGCTTACATCAATGTCAAGGTCGCATCTTGGTATTGACTCATCAAGAAAGTTTGAATAACAGCTACAATAATATGCCACAGATATCCGTGAAAGTTGATATCAACTTCAGCTAATGTAGGGCAGAGCATGTCCCTTAAACTTGATATCAATTTCATCACATTTAGGGCCACAATAATCTCTGAAAGTTGATATCAACTTCACAACATATAGGGCCGCACATATCCTTGAAATTCAATATCAACTTCAGCACATGTAAGAAAAAGTTCTCTTAAGACCAATAAAAAGTTCGCTATTTTACTCAAGCCATAGAAAATTCGATTTCAAATAGCCAGCTTTCACAAAATACATTTTTGTCTTGTCCGCCGTCACGAATTGATGATATCAATTTTTAGCTGCTCGCACTGAATAGCACTGACAATGAACGCGCAAAAATTATTTGCGCGCCGCGATTATTCGATTATGTTGTGAGGCAAGGGGACTTTTTGCGCTCTGTTTCAAATATTTTCTAATAAAAAATAAATAATTGTTTTTCATCAAGATTAAAGTTTGAAATTATTTACCCCCTAACGTGGGCGTCTAAAGGATTTTTTTTCCGTTAGGAGTAGGGGTAGGGGGGGGGGTAGTGATTAAATCCATCGTACAAATTGCATGCATGTCTTATCTTTGGAAGAAATGTTTTGTATTTTAGAGGTAGCACACGTTAAGATGAATGGATAGATTTTATATCTATAGACAACAAAGTAATATTTCTGTTCTACTGTTTTATCCTGTTGATAAAAATTTCAAGGTCTGGATTAGGGATAGAGACCAAACTGTAGATTTAGTTTCACAATACCATCTGATACAGTGTCGATTTTCATTTCCTAACCATTGTTGTTTTTGATGTATAGGATCATGTAAGCGCTTGCATTCATCGTTGTGGACAATCTAAGACCAAACTCATAATTTGCTCTTTATAAAGTAGGTTGCACGAGTGGTAGGCTACCAGTTTGTTAGATCGACTGGAGTGTGTACTACTAGTTTTGCCGTCATATTTCCTGCATTTTATGCGATGCATTTGTTTTGCGGATGGCCACTGCGCTGCAGACCCCACCACATACACACTCATACACTAACCCACATCCGTGATCTAACCCTCCCCCCACCCGTGATCTAACCCTCACCCCACCCAAACCCACAACCTTACCCTTACAGTCACCTGTACCTACGTCAACGACCCCACCCCCACCAACACTCCAACCTTCAACCCCAACTGCACCCCATACCTACATCTACGATCTCACCCTCCCACCTACTTCCACCCTGAAACTCATCCACCAATACATACATCACACCCTCAAACTTACCTCCCCCATACCTACATCCGCGACCTCAACTCACCCCGCCACATACCTACAGCCACGACCCAACCCCCAATCTAAACTAAAACAACATCTTTTGTTTTAACTTCTACACTCGAAATAAAAAAAAAATGGAAACAATCACGTGACCTTCCTCATCAGACTGCGAGTATTAATTAGATTTTTGGCCGTGAATCGATGGCAGCTCATCTTACAAGAAGTCACCCCTCTGGTCAATCCTCGGCCTGGACATCTGACCATGGGGGTCAATCTCCTTACGCCAGTCGTCGCTAGCCCTCAGCTCCCACACGCTCCCAAAATCCTCCCCCCTCCAGAGCTGCAAACAGAAATTAAAGGGAGGTCACTCGTACACAGGGGACGTATTCATCATAATTAACTCTAATTAACTCCCTTTACTTCCACTTTTCTTTTTTCTTAGCCGCTGCCCCTGCAGTAAAAATTATATTAGTCACTGCATTACCTGTCTGGTACCGCGGGGCTGATGGGAATTCTGTCACGTGATAGTCTTCCATCAGACGACTCTGGCGCGAAAAGTTCTGACCGCGAGGAAGCGGTCGGTCAAAAGGGCAGCGTTTATCCAGGAGTTTAGGTCTGTGGATACAAAGATTTATGGATACAATGATTTGAGGAAACAAAGATTTAAGAAACAAAGATCTTAGTCAAGGAAAATATATGGAAACAAAGATATAAGGAAGCAAATATCTATGGCAACAAAGATATTAAGAAAACAAAGATCTACGGCAACAAATACCTAAGGAAACGAAGTTTCAGAAAAATAAATCTAATTAATCGACGACTTAAGAAATCAAAGATCTAAGAAAGCAAATAACTAGGAAAGCAATTGATGTCTAAGGATGTATTAAAGATCAAAGATATGCAGATATTTGCAGAGTATATTAAACACATATATTTTTTTAGCTGAACACTCCAAACCATTACATACAAACGTCTCTAAGCTTACTGTTGGAGCAGAATAAAATAATGTGAAAATCATTGCTAACGACAACAGGAATCCCCGATATTAAACGCCCATCTACCGGGAATTCCCGATATTTCTCATCTATCCAACGGAAATTCCCGATATATTACACCTATCTATTTCTGAAAACCAGCCCATCTTCCGTTCACTTTACCAGCCAGGTTTTCAATTACTCGAATCTTTTACTCGGTCGCCCTCGTCCCCACCCCCACCTCCTCACCCCCTCTGCTGAACATACCAATCGTTTGTTTTCTGTCGATGCTGCTCCCCCACCACCTCTTTACCCCACCCCCTTTTGAAAATAAAATTTACAACTTCCTCAGACACCTCCTCCCTCCCCCACCCCCCACCCCCCAGCCGTACCACCCTACTACTCGTGCATGCAACACAAGACTTCTCTACACATTTTCTTGTTTAATTCTGGACGACACCACCATCACCATCAAACCCCGCCCCCCCCCCCCTCCCCCTCCCCCAGCGGATCGGATGGCAGCCGCGTTTTAATTTCAGAACGGTTTGCGCTTGGCATCTGTCATTAATGGACTCTCCATGGCTTTAAAATGGAAAGATTCGTTTTGTTTCGTTTCAATTCTAATTT